CCCCCCCCACAAGTGCCATCCTCATTATAACCTATTTTGTGGGAAGCTCTGATCTGCTGAAAAAGAAGAAAGGCAAAGTACGTGTGTTCATGCACACACAGACTTGAGAAAAGCCTTTCCATTTCTGAAATCCCATGACTCATTTTTATGCAAAATTATCTACTGGGGAAAAAAACCACTTTTTTGGTCATGGTGCATTATAGTCATTTCTAGAAAGGAGAGCATCTAATTTTTGCCATTTTTGGCATGCATAAATGACTGACTTCATGGAAATGGCACAGTCCTCCCCGATGTAAAAATAAACTGAATTTGAGCTTGTACATCTTGCAAGTCCAGTCTAGCTAGTCCTGGGCAAAGAAAGTAGAGTGGAAAAAGTGAGAGAGTTTTCTGATTTGGGTTTCTTCTGTTTGGGAAATTAAATAATTATATGTGCATATATATAATATAAATAATTATAAATAATTGAAAAGTCAATTTTCCGTGATTTCAGGTTTAAACATCTGTAGTAATACCTGCTCATTATATGGACATAATGGACACATTTGATATGTTTTTACTTGCACATCAAGAGGTAACATTTTTTTCCTGAGCAATACTTGTATTTTGTATCCTAGGAGAGCAAAGCCACACTTGCTCTTGGTGGAACTCCTCTGCAAAGGCGTTGTTTGCTTATTTTTCTGTTTTGATGACTGTCCTCCATTTTTTATGGCTTTCCCTTCCAGAATCATCTACCTTTACCCAGGATATAGTTGGAATTTTCTTGAAAAAGAGGATCCAGATTTTGAGCTTCAGGCAGCTCTGAGATGCACAGTGCTGCTGTGAGTTAGCAGGACATTAGAAGCTTGATACTGGGTTACAAGTGCAGGCCACTGTTCATTTTGCAAGGAAGGAAATGTAGATGAGGGTATTATCTGCCAGCCTGCCCCCAGACAGATCCTTGGTCGGTTTCTCAATGATTTGTCAAATAGGAGAAAGTAAGGTTGAATTGTAAAAACAAGTTTGTCACAATATACTCTAAAAGAAATAGCATTGGGGCCCGGCACGGTGGCGCAAGTGGTTAAAGGTCCTCGCCTTGCACGCCCGGGATCCCATATGGGCGCCGGTTCTAATCCCGGCAGCCCCGCTTCCCTTCCAGCTCCCTGCCTGTGGCCTGGGAAAGCAGTCAAGGACGGCCCAAAGCTTTGGGAACCTGCGCCCGCGTGGGAGACCCGGAAGAGGCTCCTGGCTTCGGATCGGCATAGTATCGGCCCGTTGTGCTCACTTGGGGAGTGAATCATCGGATGGAAGATCTTCCTCTCTGTCTCTCCTCTCTGTATATCCGCCTTTCCAATGAAAAAATAATAAAAATAAATCTTTAAAAAAAAGAAATAGCATTTTATAATGTTGAACTTGAAAATGAGATTGACATTATTACTAATCATGTCCTTAGTGGATTTTTAAAAATCTTTTATTTATTTTTTGGAAAGTCAGATGTACAGAGAGAAAGATCTTTCATCTGCTGGTTCATTCCCCAAGTGGCTGCAGTAGCTGGAGCTTAGCCGATCCGAAGCCAGGAGCTTCTTCCTGGTCTCCCACACAAGTGCAGTGTCCCAAGGCTTAGGGCTGTCCTCAACTGCTTTCCCAGGCCACAAGCAGGGAGCTGGATGGGAAGTGGAGCAGCCTGGTATGAACCGGTGAACACATGGGATCCTGGTGCGTGCAAGACGAGGACTTAGCCGCTAGGCTCCTGCTTTTGGCTCTCTTTGTTATGTTGAGCTTATACAATGCAAAAGAGATTGGCAATATTGCTAATATGTCTTTAGTGGATTTTGTTTAATACATAGAGGAAATGGATTTCTGGTAAGTACAAATTTTTTACATAAGGTTCCTTTAGATCAGGGTTTCTCAAAATATGACCTAGGGACCACTGAGGCTCCAGATCCCTTCTATCAAGCCTGTTTTTATGTATTGATGCGTCTATTCATCCATATGTCCATAACGGTTACTGCAGTGCTGTTCCCTGATCTGTGTGCAGTGGCCTTTTCCAGGAGCTCCGCACTGTGTGACGTTCCAACACACTACATGCCGAAGCAAATATAGGAGTGCAGCTGCTTTCTGTTAACCTAAAACTGAAGAGATTTGTGCCATTCTTCTCACCTTGTGTGACTGCAGTATTCTTATAGCTGACAAATACACCTATACCTGGTTTATTTCCTCAGCAAGCTGTTCTTTTTCAAAACATGGTGAAGACCCCATATCCTCCTGATATGTAGCATGCCCCTACAGTAACAGATTAAACTGTAGGAGCCACTGTGATGCCCTATTCCCCTTTGGCTTCCATGCCAACGAGTGCCAGCCTTCCTGGTGTGCTCCTGACTTTTAACTGGGTCTTTTTAAGAAATGATTAGAAACATTTGTTACACATCACAAAGAACTTTAGCGATTTGCCTAACTTGGTCCTACTGGACTTCATCTGTCAGGTCAGTGCATAGCACAAGTGTGAGGTCCATCTTGTTACAAGTTTTGTACTGGTACCATCCTGGCTGTTACTGGTCATGGAGGCTAGTGTGCCTGTTTGAGTTTGCTTGCCCAAACCTCAGCCTTCTGCCCTAGCAAAGTGGGTAGAACAGGATAAGCCCACAATATTTGGATAAGCTCTTTTGAACTTCTGGTGGAAAGCCATTTTTATGAGGCAGTTGTTCTGTGTTAACACCAGAGACAGCTCCTAGTAGATTTTCTCAGAACATGTTTCAGACATCGGTAATGGCAGGGGTGACCCAAACTATATCGTAAAATCCCAGGAACCGCAGGACGCTTCAAAGGGGGATGGAGCAAAAGCTCACCTCTCATATCCTGGCCAAAAAGTACTGTAGCCACCCTTCCTGAGGATTGCCAGAGTGGACAGAAGGCTGGGCTCATCTGTTCCCCAGACTTCACAGGTTGACCCCCAGCAACATGAGCAGCGAAGTAATAACCAAGCACCTGCCCACTCCTAAGGCGTAATGGGCAGGACAAACCACGTGTAAAGTGTTTTGTTTCTCTTTGTGAAAAGATGCGAACTATGGAGCTTTTTTATGTTTGTTGACGGGCACCGTTGATTAGTTTTCTTAGTTTTCAATGTGGGATACTCAGATCCAGTTGCTTTAGGTACTAAAGGTAAATTAACCAAAGGGATGTGTTTGAAATATGTATTTGTTTTAGAGGAAGAAAGACAGACAACACTTCCATTTGCTGGTCCTTTGCCCAAATACAGCAACTGAGCTTGGACCAAGCCTGAAGCAGAAGTCAGAAAGTCAGTCCGAATCTTCTCCGTGGGTACTGGGAGCCCAAGTGCTTGAGCCGTTGCTGTTGCCTCCCAGGTGCCCACTGGCAGGAAGCGGAAAGGGGGCACTAGCACCAGGGACTCAAGCCAAGCACTTGGACATGAGCTTCAGGTGTCTAAGCCAACATACCAACCACCAGGCCAAGTGCCCTTCCCTAGGTCGAGTTCCTGCTCTTGGTATCGTTGCCTTAGTTTTCTGTAGACACAGTTGTAGTTTATCCTCAAATGCTTTATGTACTTTCAATTTCTACTATGCTAAGATTCTTAACTTTTTACTTATTTTCTTTTATATTGGAAAGACAGATATACAGAGAGCAGGAGAGACAGAAAGATTTCCCATCCACTGGTTCACTCCCCAAGTGAACCTCAATGACCAAAGCTGAGCCGATCCCAAGCCAGTAGCTAGGAGCTTCTTCCAGGTCTCCCATGTACTACAAGATCCCAAGGCTTTGGGCCGTCCTCGACTGCCTTCCCAGGCCGCAAGCAGGGAGCTGGATGGGAAGCAGGGCCTCCAGGATATGAACTGGCACCCATATAGAATCCTGGCGCATGCAAGGTGAGGGCTTTAGCCACTAGGCTACCATGCTGGGCCCTATTTTTTTAATTTCCATTTTAATAAAGTTCCTATTAATAATTTACCCATAAATTTCTCTCTGTCAGATCATGTTTAAGATTGCATTAGATAATTTACTAGGATCCTTATTATTATTAATATTCTCCCCTAGGTCTCCCCTGCTCCTATATCTACTGGTTATTATTCTCTGGATCTACTATTGAGCTATTTCTTCTGAGTTTCTTTCTTCACTCATTTTTTTTGTCTTTTTCTTGATGAATAGGCAGTGCTCAGATGCTTGGTGATTCCTGACTATGTGCTACTCCTATGGGAAGTTGAGGCACTAGAGCTGCACGGGGAGCTGAGGGTCAAGGAGCTGTGGGGAAGAGTGTGCGGGGGGCTCCACCGTGGGACCCAGGATGCTGGTCTCCTATCAAGGAGCAAGCTGGGTGTAGGGAGGGAGCGGACCCACAGATCTAACTGCTTCTTGCACTGACTTGGGACTGCCTTCTTGCTTTTACCAGTTCTACCTGCCTCCCTGGTCCTCTGTATGCCCAGGCCTTCAGGCTTACTCAAAATGCATCAGCTCCCTGCCCCATGGCTCCTCCTTCTGGCTCGCATGCCAGCACCGTGTTTCTTAGTGTCTGAAGCAATGATGACACCTCTCGGTGCCCTCTGGGCTCATGCTGTGTAGACCCCTTTGCTCACATGTTAAAGGACTCTCTGGATTAGAAGTCCTGTAACTTAGTCTTTCCACTAATTCATTCATCCTTTCTTGATGCACTTTCTACCTCCTAACAAAGCTCTGAATTGGTATGGTTTTACTGAAATTCATATCTGTTATTTTTCAAAATACATTTATTTTTATTGGAAAGGTAAATCAGATTTAAAGAGAGAAGGAGAGACAGAAAGGTCATCCACCCTCTGGTTCACCCCCCAAATGTCCGCGATGGCCGGAGCTGAGCCGGTCCAGAGCCTTGAGTTTGTTCCAGGTCTCCCACGTGGTTACAGGGTCCCGAAGCTTTGGGCCATCCTCTACTTCTTTTCCAAGCCACAAGCAGAGAGCTGGGGGGAGAAGTGGAGCAGCTAGAACATGAACCGGCACCCTTATGGGATCCTGGTGCTTGCAGGATGATTTATTTAGCCGTGCTCGCTTCGGCAGCACATATACTAAATTTGGAACGATACAGAGAAGATTAGCATGGCCCCTGCACTAGGATGACACGCAGGATGATTTAGCCATTGACCCATCATGCTGAGCCCTGTATCTTATTTCTGTTCTAACAGTCTTTATTGTTTTGGTGGTGGCATCATTGCTCCCATTTTTAAGCTTGTGCTATATTCCAGGTATGGCTCTCTGTACCTCACACGTATGATCTCATTTCATCTTTGCAACCACTTTTGAACAGCACCTGCTTAGGGCATTCTGTGTGCCCTATTTACCAGAAACATTTCGAATGCCTCTGGTGAGAAACCTTTGCCAATCCAAACCCAGCTTTGAGTCTGGTGTTGGCCTTTAATCTCTCATTCTGTGTGTTGTAAAGAAACAGGTTGTGGAAGGCTCTTGTCAGATCCCAGGAACATGAAAGAAACAGCACACCCGAGGGTAGTGACATGGCCCTGTCACCACCCCTCATTGAACCATAAAAGCTATTCAGAGGGGCTGGCAGCTGGCGAGCGAGTGTGCTTAGATCCTGGGTGCTGATGGGTGTTTTGTAGTTTCCAAGGGAAGTTGCTGAAAGTTTTCTTATCTTGACACTCCAAGGGCAAGAGGTCTTTCTTCAAAGGGAAGCCCTTGTTTCAGGGAAATGTAGAAAGAACATAAAATCACCATTCTTACCCAATTCTGGAGAATAAATGGGAAGGAACAATGTGGCAACCATGTAAAAAACAGGCATTTGAAGGAATCTGGAAGGGGCTCCCTGCAGTACTGTGATACAAAAGAAAGGGGCCTGGGAGGGGCCAGCCAGTCGTCCTTACTGTTGCGTGCTCTTGGCTGTCACCTGGGCAGGGGTTTTCCGCTCTGAACCTCACTGCAGTGAGATTCCTTCCACTCATGAGACAGGGATGAAAATGCCCGCCTCAGTGGATGGCTGTGTGGCTTCAGTTATGTGATATATACGGAGGCACTTGCGAAAGTTCATGAAAGTGGTGTTTATATATTTATACACACATAGTAAAGGTTCATATATGTGTTTGTTTATTTGAAAGACAACATCACAGATAGAGGGAGAGTCAAAGGAAAGAGATCTTCGATCTGCTGGGTTACCCACCAGGTGACCAAATGTAAGCCAGGAGCCAGGATCTTCATCCAGGTCTCCCATGTCAGGGCAGGGCCCCAGGGGCTTAGACTATCTGCTGCTGCTGCTTTCCAAGGTACATTAGCAGGGAGCTAGATGGGAAGCAGAGCAGCCTGGACACAAACTGGTACCCAAAAAGGTTGGTGTCACAGGTGAGGCTTTACCCACTGTGGTACAACACAGACCCCAGAATAAGTTTCTTCTGATGCAAAAATAAATAAGTAGATTTAAATCCATGTATTTGAAGGGTGTTAAAAAAATTTCTTGGTGGGCCCAGTGCAATAGCCTAGTAGCTAAAGTCCTCGCCTTGCACACACCGGGATCCCAAATGGGTGCCGGTTCATATACCAGAGGCCCCGCTTCTCATCCAGCTCCCTGCTTGTGACCTGTGAATGTAGTTGAGGACAGCCCAAAGCCTTGTGCCCTACACCCATGAGGATGACCTGGAAGTAGCTCCTGGCTCCTGGCTTCAAATCAGCTCGGCTCAGCTCCAGCCATTGCAGCCGTTTCGTGAATGAATCAACGGATAGATCTTCCTCTCTGTCTCTCCTCTCTGTATATCTAACTTTGCAATAAAAATAAATTAAAAAAAATTTTTTTTGGAAAATGTATATTACAAATGCATAGACTTCAAAATTCTTTTACCCCAAAGTAAACATCTTTTAATTCTATTTTCTATACATTTTAGGAAAAAAAAAATCTCTTATCTAGCACTTAATCTGCGGATAGTCAGACAGGGCACAAGAAATGATATTTGAGGGGCAGCTCTTCTTGATCATAGGACAGTGAGCAGAATTCCAGCAGCAGACTGCCGGTAGATAGCCCCTCACTCCCTCCTGCACGCTCATGCAGACCACTCTGGCCCTAAGACAAAGAGTTCAGATGCTTTACAGTTTTTTTCCTCTCTTCTTATTTCATTTCTTCACACAGAATACATAGTTAAATTGAGGCCTGCCGACCTGGTCAGGCTTGCCAGGCAGCGGGCCTCACCTGGGGCTCAGCCCTGTGTGCAGGAACCTCCCTGGAAAAGGTGTGCAGAGGCCACGAACTTGCTCTGAACCCACTTGCAAAGAGCAGGTGATCCCAAACTATTGTTAGTGTCTGCTGTAAATGATATGCCTCTGGGTTCGAGCAGAGTTCAGCCAAGAGTCCCACATGACATGGAAATCTGTCCTGGAGCCAGTTTTGTCGGGTAAAAATTATGAAGCGAGTGTCTCTCAACATTGGCATCTGTTGTCTGCCGAGGGTCAGACGGCCGAGAATGATGACCTACGGAAATCAGGATGGGGCGCGCTGCCCTGGGACAGCTGACAGACCTTTTCAGCCACTGTTGCTCATCCAGTTTTCTGATAAACAGCTCTGAAAGCATTACGTGGCTTGGAAGGCATTCTTCAAAAATGGTTGTATTTTCCAGGCGCATGACAGTCGGCCGCTAGTTTTGTTTCAGTGTTTTGAGTTGTAGAATCAAATTTTCTCCAGCAGGGCTGGTGGAACTGCTGAGAGCTTGTCTGCCTGACTCCTGCCAGGCCAGTCCCCAACAGTATGCTCATGTTGGTCGATCGGGGTTCCCTGTGGCTGTTTTTTCTTTCTTTCTTTCTTCTTCATCTTTTTTTTTTTCTTTTCTTTTTAGGGGGAAAAAAAGGGCTCTTGGATTCAAGGCTAAGAGTTCAAGAGAAAAATTTTCTTTGATTTCTAGTTAGGCATGCTGGAGTCTAATGTTGCTTTCATCAGGTTCCGTCTATTTCATAATTTCTGCATAATGAAAGTAGAGAAAAAAAGTTTGGATTATTATACTGCTTTGAGCCTTTGAAAGTGAACTTTATCCAGATTGTGTTCATTTCCTAATGTATTTCAAGCCTCAATTTCCCACTTGTCCTTCCCCCAGAAATGTAATTCCTGTCACCTTTTGGGTGGGCCTCCTAGGAAATTGTCAGTGTCACTAGGGCAGGAAGTTTGCCCTTAGATGAATATCATTCAGGTCCAGAATTTCATTTAGGACGTGGACTTAATCTGGACCGTATCATAAGTACACAATGTTCTAGCAATGGATTTTTTTTTTTTTACTTGAGAGGCCGAGAGGGAGAGGCAACGAGTGAGAACTCCATTTGCTAGCTTACTCTTCCAGTGCCTGCATGGACGAGGGCGAGGCTGGGCCCAACCCCAGAGCTCTGGGAGCCATCGCTGTTGCTTCCCCAGGTCTGCGTTATTAGGAACCTATAGTTAGGAGCCCAAGGGAGACCTCAAACATCGTGTGGAATATGTATATATTTATAACCAGGTTTTAACTGCTGTGATGAGCGTGTGCTCCTAATGACAGATAGTTTTAAATACCTGTTTCAAGTCTACTATACTATAGATTTTTATTTAACTTTCTTGGTGGACTTCATGAAATTTTCATCTTATTCCCGAAATGTGGTAGAACTAATGAACTTGTGAGGAGCCTCATTCTGACTTCGTGTGGTGAAATGACAGTGGCTCACACTGAACTGGTCGGCGTCGGCTCGTTCCTTCTGGACTCAGATCTCCTGGGTGGGCTCTCTGCAGGTTCCCATTGGGTCTTGCCGGCAGCTTGACTTCTTGGCAAGAGAATGAGGTTACATGCAAATCCTGAGAGCAGGACCCTGGCTCCAGCCCTGGCAGTACTCTGCTCTGTGGTTTTACTTAGCTTCTAGCCTTTCCCCACTAGCAGAGGGGGCTGGTTGTCCGTACCTCGTCATGTCTGTGTGGCTGAGATGAACTCCCTGCAAGAGTGCCTCCTACTTAGGCTGGCTTTGCCATCAGAGGCAAACTGGATATTGAGATAAAGAAAGCCAAAGTAGGGGACCTGGCTTGGTAACTTAGCGGCTAAAGTCCTCGCCTTACATGTGCACACCAGGATCCCATATGGGTGCTGGTTCTAGTCCAGCAACCCCGCTTCCCATCCAGCTCCTTGCTTGTGGCCTGGGAAGGCAGGCGAGGATGGCCTGAGGCCTTGGGACCCTACACCTGCGTGGGAGACCTGGAGAAGGCTCCAGGCTTCTGGCTTGCAATCAGCTCAGCTCTGGCTGTTGCGGTCACTTGGGGAGTGAATCAGCAGATGGAAGATCTTCCTTTCTTTCTCTCCTCCTCTCTGTGTATCTGACTTTCCAATAAAAATAAACTTAAAAAAAAAAAGCCCAGCTGGAACAAATGAAGTTTACAATGTTTGTTAGAAATAAAAAGACACAGTTTAATCGATTCTTTTGTAGCCTGAGAGCCCAGACCTACCCCCCAGTGGGGCTTAGCGCCATTTAAGCTGCTTACATCTAGTTTCCAGTGGAGGAACTATGTGACCACGTCTGCCTTGTCACTGGTTCACCCCTCCCTCTGCCTTTACCTCTGGAAAGACAACAGAGCATCTGCGTCCATGACAGGTTGGGCCACATGGAAGGAGCGTCCCAGCACCTCCTGCCCAGAATGTGACATGTGGGGAACCTGCTGAAAATGGGCCATTTCCCAGATGCCCTGTCCTCAGCGAGATGCTCATGTTCCTAACACTGTCTGCTAGCTACAGATCAAGAAATCAGTGTTTAAAAAGGCAAAAAACAACTTTGACTTCAGAGGCATTTTGTATAGGAAGGAATGTACATGTTTTGAGAAAGCAAATTCTAAAACATATCTTCCTTTAGTTGCTGAACACCGAACATGTATCAGATTAGAGCTGGATAGCCGAGTCTGCCTTGCTGCAGACCTTGGCTGTGCTGGGTAGCTCATGGAGAAGGCTGCTCACAGCCTGCAGCCAAGTGTGCACAGCACTGAGTCTGCTGGTGGGCGCTATTCTTGTGTATGCTGGCTGCAGATCCTGTTTTTAAATAACTCGTGTTTCTACATTTTTCAGTTTGGCCTCCTTGTTTACTTATGATTATATGTTCCTGGAATATTGTAATGAAAGCAATTCTGAGATAGGAAAGTTCGACAGGAAGTGGGGGCATTGAG